TGTGGTCCTGGGATGGCCGGGGACTTGTGAATGAGCTCAGTCCATTATTACTAATAAGTGAGTTGGAGAAAGTGGGGCATTTGCTCTTTCTGGCTTCCAGCTGGAGGGGAAGGGGGTGGATCTGTGTGTGGGAGTGAAGGGAATAGCCTTTGCAAAATAAGGTCAGAAAAACGCTACTTTAATGTTAGAAAATAACTCAACTTGCAATCCTATCTAACCTAAATTTCCTTTTAAAGATTTTAAAAATTTGATTCATTTTTAAGTTGTGGAGAGAGTATGAGAAGGTGAATTTGCATCTCATTATTTCTTTGCTTGATGTTTGAATCCTTCCAGCTTGTCCATCCTCAGCAACCTCTGGCCCAGAAAGGTCCAGGGTGGTTCTGACCGGGGGATCAGCTCATTTCAGAGAACAACGCTGTGCCTCCATCAGCCAAGGGAAGGGCTGAATTATGAAAATACAAACGTGGGCCCCGTACTCTTCTAGGGTAAACTTGATCGAAGTTATCACGATGAGGCTGGCGTTTATTCCCAGCTTCTGGTGGCTTTACCTGAGAGTTTCCACTTTCACGTGGAGACAACGGAGAGTCAGGGCTGGGGGAGGGACAGAATCTGCAAAATGCGAAGCCCCTGAAGTACTGACTGAGTACCTATGACGCGTGAGACATGGTTGCTGGCCTTTAGGGGCTTGTTAATTCCAGGAACAGAAGACCGATGCAGTTAGAAAGGACCAGACAATAGATAAAGCACTGAATTATGCCATCTGTATAACAAAGGCGGAACATATTGACAGGAACAAAATTAACACAGGCGGGGATTACTAGGCCAGGCTTTGCAGGACCGAAATTAAAGGTAAGGGGGACACTTAGATGGATGGAGGGGAGGGGAGGGGAGTTTGAGACAAGCGCGTCGGAGATACAGAGGCAAGGAGAGTGATGTGTTTATTGTCGGAGCGGGGCTGGGAAAAAACTGCACAATATAAACTATCATACGTGGTCTAAATTCAATTTTGAAGAAATATGTTTTATTCATAGGCAAGAAAAAAATTGCAAGCAAATGTGTCAAAATATAAACAATGCCACATGATAGAGGGATGATGGGTGATTTTTTGTTTCTTCTTTTTACTTGTTGGTATTTTTGTTTATAGAGAAATGAAATGATTTATTCTTACACTAGAAAAAACAAAAACATTGTCCCTTATTAAGAGAGAGCTGTGTTCATGTCACTACCTGGCTGCCTGCGGAGGGTGTGCCTGGAGAGCCTGGTGGGGAGAGGGGAGGCGAGGACCAGTGGGCGGGGCCCTGGGGGCTGCAATGGGGAGGAAGGAACCAGCGCAGAGGCTCTTACAGGGAATGATTCAGACCCAAGGGAATGAGAGCCTTGGCCCCCATGGGTCGTGGACAGTGAGATAAGCAAGTGGGCCGGAGAAAGCTTTTCTAGAAAGATAGGGCAATTGCACAGGCAAGAAGGGTGGATAAAGGATCTGACAGTGGGCATCACAGGGGCGCTGAGAAGCCGTGAGCTGTTCCATCTCTAGGATTGGATGCCCTCTGTCGGGGAGGGGGTCCTGAGTTCCTGTGGCTGCACGAATAATGAAATTGACACAAGACAGACTGACAGGAGAAAAAAGAAACATGTGATCTCCTGCACCCTGAGGTCTCACAGAAATGGGACCGAAGATGCGGCCAAAGTAGGCAGCTTTCATACTTTTTGGACAAATAAAGGATGTAAGGAATTGATCGGACAAGGAAGTGTGGGCGTTGGGTGCTCAGTTAGAGAGGGATCTAAACGGAGTTTGGTCTTGGGGGGAAGTGAATTAAGAAGTAACCAGGTTGATTTTTTTTCCCTTTTAACAGAAAGAATATAATTTTTTCTAATTAAAGCATGGTAGTTTACAACGTGTCCATTTCTTGTGTACAGCATAATGTTTCAGTCATACAGACACATACTATATATATATTCCTTTTCATTCCAAGTTGCTATAAGGTATTGAATATAGTTCCCCGTGCTCTACAGCATAAACTTGTTTGTATCTATTTTATATATAGTAGTTCGTATCTGCAAATCTTGAACTCCCAATTTATCCCTTCCCACCCCCTTGCCCCTGGCAACCCTAAGTTTGTTTTCTATGTCTGTGAGTCTGTTTCTGTTTTATAAATTAGTTCATTTGTGTCATTTTGGGGGATTTCCATATAAGTGATATGATATGGTAGTTTTCTTTCTTTTTCTGTGTTAAAGGAGTAACAAGGTTTGTTAATACAATTCCTGATCATTGGCAACAGGGGGAGGGTCCTTCGACCTCCAGATGCAGGGAGGGTATCTTTCACGTGGGAGATTTATTTCCTGCTTTCAAGGAGACAGAAAGCAAGGTCAGATTGTCTCTTGCATCGGTCGTTTTTAAAGTAACTTTAATTCAAAGAAACCGGTATGCCATTGAGGCAGTCTTGGGGCTGCGTGCCCTGAACCCCAACACTTCCATCCCAGGTTGCCGGGCCCCTGTGGATTGGCAGGAGGGATGGGTGATGCCTGTGTACAGTCACTAGCAGGTGGGATGGGGTGAGCTGGCAGTGAGATCCCACCACTCTGTCCAGAATCCCCATCCAGAAAGAAGGTGGTTGTCTGGTTCCCAGAGTCTGCTTCGGGCTCTGGGACCCTCAGCCCCACCACCAGGGGAGGTACTCAGAGGCAGCAGCCACACAAGTGGCCCTGAGCATGGGGGCCAGGTCAGGAGGGCCCCGGGGTCTTGAGTGTCTGTATCCAGGGCTGGAAGAGCAACCTGGGTGCATTTTCCTTCGGACAGAATCAGCGCTGACACCGCAACTCATTTGACTCACACTCTTCTGAGACGCACCCATCCTGAGACACAAGACACACTGGATTTTCCCTGGGAAACCTCACTGACTTCCATCCAGCAGGGGCTGCAGGTGGTTCTCCCACCCGAATGCAGGGGCGTGGTCACTGAGGTCTCTGCATGCTGTTATTCACTGAAGAATGTTGACTCCCACGCCGAGTCTTGGGGGACAGAAGCTGGAGGAGTTTTGCAACTTACAGACAAGTGCAATGAAAGCTTAATAGCGTATTGACCACTTGCATTCACAGAAGTGTTTCTACTTACCTAATCCAAAGGACAAGAGTGCCACGAACTCGAGAAGCCCGGGGAACGGAAAACCTGCAAGGCAGCAGCATCGCACCAGCTACTCTGCTGGGGTAATTGGTGAAACTGGCCTCACGTTCTCACCCCGCCCACTTTAGCAGAAACTCCGGCTCAGATGCCTCTGTCACTAAACTCCCTGGGTTGGAATTCTGGAGAATCCCACTGTGTTCTGGGCTCTGCTGTCTAGAAAAGAAGCCTTGTGGGGGCGGGGTTTATAGGTGGAACTCCTACCTCTCCTGGATACCCGCTCTGCTGTGTCCAAAGAGAACCCACTCAGACATTTGTGCCATGTTTTAACACCGTCCTCCTCGAAACACCATACCCCTCATTACTCTGCCTAAAAACAGAGCAGTGGGTTTCCTCTGGAGATAGTGAAATGGAAGCCGTAAGAACCTGCCAAGTCTGAAAATGCTTTTGCAAAGGAATCATTTTGCATGATCTTTGTGCTGCCATCTTTCGAGGACTGGGAAGTGACGGGATCTCTCTTTATATTAATATGAAATTGTGGCGCTAAAAACATAGTAGGCACTTTGTAAATATCTGCTGTGGGAATGAGTCAAAGAACCAAAGTCATCATAATGTTGTAACCATAAGGCACTTTTTAAGTTTAAAAATACTTCAAATGACCCTATACACCGTTTAGGGATACATATGTATGTTTTAAAGGGGTATAGATGTGTGTGGGGTGATAAATACCAAATTAATTTTATTAGGTTAGGAGTAAGTTGCAGGAGGTGGATTTAACGGTTTCCAGTGTTTTATTTCTTGCTTTAAAAAAAAAAACTGAAGCTAGTTTACAATGTTGTGTTAATTTCTGGTGTACAGCATAGTGATTCAGTCATACATATATATTTATTTCTTTTCATTTTCTTTTTCGTTATAGGCAATTACAAGGTATTGAATACAGTTCCCTGCGTTCTGCAGTAGGACCTTGTTGTTTTCAATGTTTTATTTTTGAGCCGAGCATGGGACCCATAAGCTATGTATTGCATTTTTCTTTATCCTTTTTTGTTTGCCTTAAGTATTGTATGATACACTTTAAATATAAATAAAACTACATTTAAAAGTTACCTCTAGTATAAATATTGCTTCACTGGAGAAAAAGTAGAGGGTGGGAAAGTTGAATAAATATGTCTGTTTCTCCCCTAAGTTGGGCGCCTTTTTTCCTCCAGTTACTGAGTAACTCCCGCTCCCTGCCTTATCTGCACCAACCACTTCTCTCTCCCTAGATTGTCCCTTGCAGTGTTACTAAGTAATTATATCTTCAACCACCGCCTAGAAGAAAAATACTTCCATACATCGGTATGGGGGCTGTTCATGTGATCTGAGCAACTCCATTTCTTACAGACCCCACCTGCTAAATAAAAAGATCGTGTGGTGTTGGTGAGAGGGGACAGGCGTCAGCTGGGTACCAATTCTGTGCCCACATTTCGTGTATTACCGCATTGAAATCCTCACAACAGCCTGAGATGTCAGTATCAGCATTCTTATTTTTATAGATGAGCATTGGGGCTTGGTGGTCCTGAACGACTTGCCCAGGACAAGGTGCCCCTGGAGGGGTTCCCAGTCCCAGGCTGTGGCACATCAGGGCTCACACCCCAACCAGCCTGTGCTGCCCGTGTTCTCGAGCCATGCTCCCCAGAAAGGGATGCAGATCCAGCCACGTTTTCGGGTTCTCCACCTTGTGACTGTGGCTCATGTTTGGGAGATGCCTGGAGGGTTAAGGGTACGAGCCAGGTGGCCCAGGAAGCACTGAACCTCTCTGATCAGCAGGGGGATTGGCTCATCACCCTGATGGTCCTGTAGTCTCCTGACTGGGGTCCATGTGCAAGAAGATACAGGAAGATACTTGTCCTTTAAAGATTTCTATTTCATCGTGTGTTTTATAACATACATCATCTACAGGCACAGTAGTACATGCATATTATACACAGATAATTAGCCAGTTATTGAAAGTATAGGCTGAGAAATATTTGTATGAACAGGAACATTCAATTTTAAAAGTCGGAAGCTTCGCAAAGTCTTCTCAACTGCACTGATCCATCTTATTTCCAATCAGCCGCTGCGTTAGCACACAAGGGTTGGCTGAGCCCAGATCTTCTAGTCCAAACACCTGTCCTCCCCGGCGCTGAGCACATCAGACACATGGTCAGGGAGACATTCTGGGAATGTTGGTGAAATCTTGAAGAATTGGAGAGAAAAACTGGAGGCAGGTAGATGTCTCATTTTTCAAGAAAGCAGATTTCACTGGCCAAATTCCTGAAAAAAAAAATTTAGCGCGGATCATTAAGCAGATGGTTTATGACCCTAATGATACAATATTGCAATCTGCCCCCAGAGAGCTTTCCTTTTAACAAAGGAAACCGACATATACAAATATCTATGATAAAACAGAGTATTTCTTAAGTGCCAGATAGTGGTTATATTACGAACAACGTGGTTAAATTATAAACGAATGTGACCAGGATTTACCAAAAGGGGAATACTCTGCGGACACAGCGACTCCTGATACAGAGAACATAATATTCAGTGAGAAAGGGGGATGTTAGAGCTTCTATGTATGTATTTATTTTTAAATACCATCTTTCCATTTTCTAGTTTGTACAGCCTGAGGACTGTGGGGACAGCTGCTCCCATGTGGGACTGACTGGGGCTAAAGGACTGGAGGTACAGGGTGGCAGCCCCTGCGTGTGGGGAAGGACCTTTGGGAGCTCTGGGACAGCATCCTCGAAGGTCAAGGGAAGGTGGCTCAGCTCCCTGTTGGAACAGGGATTAAGGCGCTAAACGACCTTTAAGGTCTGTTTCTACTTTGAGTTCTATGATCTGTGTGAAATAATGGCCCTGCAGGGCTCGTGCAGAGACAGTGGGCTTAAAGGCAGCGGCCTTAAAGAGACATCAGTATTTGCAAATCCCGGACTCCCAGTTTACCCCTCCACTATCCCAGTAGAGGGGAGATACACACTACTGTATACAAAACAGATAAACAGCAAGGTCCCACTGAACAGCACAGGGAACTATATTTAATACCTTGTCATAGCCTATAATGAAAAAGAACATGAAAAGGAATATGTATGTATATCTGAATCACTCTGCTGTCCACCAGAAATTAACACCACATTGTGAGCTGACTATACGTCAATAAATTTTTTTGTTTGTTTTAAAGAGACATTGATCTGGCTTGGGGCAGCCTCTGTGGAGGAGCCACAGATGGCTTCACGGTGGAAACCTGGCTCCTTCCAGAGAGGCCAGGTCCATGGCCTGAGGGGTGGAAAGGATAAGTGTGTGTTGCTGTTACTGCAAACTTGCCTTTTGGGGGAGAAATGAAAAATCAGCCTTCAGCCTTTATACCCTTCTAATGTGAAACTTTAGATTCGCTGATTATTCAGCTAAATTTTGAACATTCAGCATTTGTCAGGGTGCCTGATTTCCTCCCCAGTCACCACCTAGATTTCGGAAAGGCCGGACTATAAATAACCAGACAGACTGTACCACCTCCAACAGCCCAAGCTGAAGAATTGAGGAGTCCGGATGACCTGGGCTGGAAAATGACCCGGGAACAGAACATTCCACACTTTACACATTCTTGTCATGAGATCAAGGGTAAAGCTAGAATTTGGGGGAAGCCACTGCAGAATCTCTCTCTCTTTCTTTCCCTCGCCATCTCTCTTCCCGCCTCTCCTCACCCCTCACACACCACCCACCCGCCCATCTGATACCCAGGATCCACTATAAACGATGGCAGGAGAGCACCTGTGAGCCACTAACTCCCACCCACATGACTGATTTACCTTCACGAAGTAGGAGAAGCTGCGTGGTGTGTGAGTCTGGGATTTAGACAGAAGAATGGATTCCAGCTTTGATGGCTAATTAGCAGGAGGACCAGTGACTCAGTTTGACTTTGTGTGTTTCCATTCCTCACTTTGTAAAGCAGAAATAATCATTATAATTTTTAAGGCTCGTCAAAACTCCAGGATTGTTCTGAGCATCACGCGTCATGGTGTATGCTCATGTTTTGCAACCTGCCAAGTGCTCTACGAATGCATGTTATTACCATGGCTATTATAAGACAGACCCCTCCCACTGGTTTGGAGGTTTTTATGGAGGTGCGTACTTACTGTAAATGCAGTATTTGTTTTATGGCTCCTTAAAAAATTGAGATAATTAGGTAAATAAATCTCTGCTAAGCCAGCATGTGTAACTGCCAAAACAGTTGGTCGTGGCCATAACTTGCAGTAGATACGCAGAAGAGCTGTAAGGAATTGGATCACAGTGAGGATTCAGCATTACTTCCCAGATAAGGATGATTCTGGAAAGCGGTCACCAAGGGTGAGCAGGTGCGGTGGGTCTCTGGTCCACATCCAGCCCCCAGGCAGGACCACGACGTGCAGCCGGCATGCAGCTGGGTGGGTGGTGTGGGACAATAACGTCACTTTTCAAAGCACTTAAAAAATACAATAATAACAAATCCCCATTGCCAGCCAGGTACAGGGAGACAGTTACACCCATTTTCCAGAGGAAAGTCGATGGTGCCCATCAGAACCCCAGCCATGTTTATAACCTTTGATGCCAGCCAGCCTAGAAAAATATCTGGGAAAGCTCTTAAGGAAATAATCACATTCAAGATCACAAAGCTCTAAATGGTAACTGTTGAAACTGAGAAAATATTTTAGGAGAAGCCTAAGTATTCACCAATAGGGGATGGAGTAAATGAAATCACAGACCTTCTTAGGAACACTTACTCTGCAGTCAGTGAAAGAGAAGTGGATATGTATTTTTCTCACATCTGGATATTTTAATAGGAAATCAGATTTCCTATTGAAAACAAAATATTTCAACATGTTATTAAGAAAATCAGCTTATAAAGCACCATGAATCCTATTTTTGGAACCATGAGTTTGTTCATGTGTATTATGTGCGGGTTTTTAGATGTCTGCAGTCATTATAATAAATACATTTCTGAAGCACTGACGGTGGGGTGAAGACTCTATTCCTGTGTTATCCCACCTCGTCCACTTACCAACCCCTGGAAGCAAGTATTTGTATTCTTATCTCACGGCGAAGGTAATTTAGGGACTGGTGGAGTTAGTAAGGTGCCCAAGGTCGCGTGGCTGCTAAGATCTGTCTGACTCCAAAGCTGGGTTGACCACCTGTTTTGATACAAGCTTCCTCTCACAGCAGTGGTTCTATTTGGACCTTGAGATGATAACTTATTTTATCACTTTTCTGAGCTACGTGGTTTTTAAAAACTTTTTAATCTGATGGTAAATTCTCGTTGTGTCTGTATTTAAAGAAATAAGCATGTTCCTCCCAACTGGAGAGGATGGGGAGGTCAACTCGGGGAACTCTACGGATGCCCAAAGGATCTGTGGGCAACAGAGGCTACTGGGCATCTTGAATACGGCCCCAAGTTCCCAGCTCACTGAATTGTAACAACAGTGGACTATGTAACCCAGGCTGTTACTGGAACACGGTATTGTTTGGGGAATAATAATAAAGTGCTTTTAGATCAAGTACTTCCCGTCCTCATAACAGCCTCATGAAGTAGGCAGAGAAGACATTTATGCCCATTTTATAGATGAGGAGAACTGAGGCTCAGAAAGGGTCAGTGGCTTGTCCCAGGCTCCAGGGCCCAAAGTAACAAAAGCTCCATTAAAACTGAGAGACTGACTCCTAGTCCAGTGCTTCCTTCACGACAAGGGGTTTTTAAGAAAAGCTGTTCTGGAATTGAAACGACCGCATGCGACTTTGAGAGGGACTGAAGTTGGGTGGTGGGTCTGCGGCAGGGAGGTGTGAGTCTGTGCAGCAGGAAGCAAAGTCCTGCACCCACAGAGGAAGGAGAAGTTCTCGCACTGAGCCCATCCTCATGAGACCCTTTTTGGGTCTGGCTCAGAGCAGAGAGCCGCTGACCTGGAGACCGGCCAGACAAGATCTTTTTCTGAAAAAGTGGCCTCCTCCCCCTCCTCCCCCTCCTCCCCTTCCTCCTCCTCCTCCTTCTGTTACTCCTCTTCCTCCTCCTCCACCCCTACCCCTAGAGACAAAACCAGTACCCCACTTTCTTCTCCATCTTGTGGACACTTGTAGAGAAGGAAGTTTCAGTGATGTGAATCTGATATTCTTTAACCAAGGCCCCTTGAAGACCAGTATTTTACTCTCAAATTTAAAAATAAGAGAGAGGAAGTTAATCTCTTTAGATTGCTAACTGTAATCTTAGGAAATCTTGGAGATGATCAAGGTTTTAGGTACCACCCTGCCCCATCAGTGTCAGCCTCATCACTGTCATCCTCATCACCACCACTCCCACCATCGCCATGAGACCCATGGGGTACACAGCCATCTCTTACACTCCATTTCCCGTCAAGCTGTCACAGCAATACTGAGCTCACGATAAAGCAATAGCAGTAAAGATGGTGTGGTATTGGCACTGGGAAAGGCGCACAGGCCAGTGGGTGATGGGAGGGAACCCCCACAGAGCCATGTACCCCAAGCTGTAACAAGTGATGGAGGACACCCTGCAGTCCAGTGCAGAGGGGATGGGCTCTTCAGCTACTGGTGTCGGGATTACTAATGATCTAGACAGAAAAAAAAAATCAGAACTCTTAGCTCCTACCCAAATAAGTCAGGTGGACGTAAAGACCTAAATATGAAAACCAAATCTATAAAATACTTGTAATACAGGAAAATGTGTTTACGAGCTCGGTGGGGAGGGGCGGAGTTCTTAGACAAGCCAGAAGAAATCACAAACCGCAAAGGAAATGGTAGATACACTGGGCAACATGAAAACCGACAACTTCTGTTCAACCAAAGGCGCTATTACAGAAGATGAGAAGCTGAGCCGCACACTGGAAGGAGCTGTTTGCAACGCGTGGGGCCGAGCCACGGTTAGTGTCCGGACTATGGAAAGAACTCCTGCACCTTGATAAGAAAAAGGCAGACAACAGAACAGAAAAACGGGCAAAGGATTTCACAGTTATTTCACAGGAGATGAAAAAATAGACGGCCAAGAAACATATGTAAAGATGCCCAGCCTCCTTAGAAATCCGGGAAATGCAAATTAAAATCGTGACGCTGGACCATATTCCGCCCACGCGTCTGACAACAGTGTGAAAAGTCTGACAGTATCGGTTGCTGTTGAGCCTGGGGAACAACCGCATGTTCCGCGGTCGGGAGTTTGAAACTCGGCACCGCAATTCCCACCCAGATGCTGCTCCCGCCAGCGCGCGCCCCGGACGGACCTTTGCACGCGAGCGGCGGGAAGCGCT